GAAGCCCTTCAAGGTAGTCATCAGGGGTCTACCAAACTTCGACCCCAAGATGGTCGAAGCCGAAATCAACCGGTACAAGCTAGCTCCAATCGCTGTCTTCCGAATGACAAGGAGAGATGAAAACGTGAAGACGTACCCGGATTGTCTTTTCCTGGTGCACTTCCAGAAAGGGACGGTGACGCTCAATGAGCTACAAGCCATCCGATCGATCTACTCCATCATCGTACGGTGGGAGCCATACCGTGGCGGTCATCGTGACGTAACGCAGTGTCAGAGGTGCCTCAATTTTGGACACGGTACCCGCAACTGCAACATCAAGCCACGCTGCAGCAACTGCGCTCAAGAACACGCCACTTCCAACTGCCCTGCGGATGGAGCCGTGGCGATAAAATGCGCTAACTGTGGTGGTGCACATCAAGGCTCTGACAGACAGTGCTCCAAACGCGAGGACTTCAAACGCATCCGAAAGCTGGCGTCAAGCAACAATCAACCAGGACGCAAGAAGGACAAAACCCCATCATTCAGGACGGAGGATTTTCCGCCTCTTCGTGCTCCCCAGCAAAGGCAAGTGAATTCGCGGGTGCAACCCGCCCCTCCTCAAGAAGCTTCCGATGATTCTGCTGACCAAAGCTCTCCATCCCCCCCTGGATTCTGGAGACAACCAACAGGACAAAACAACAACCCCGATCTGTTCTCAGCGGATGAACTGATGGAAATTTTCGTCAACATGTCCGGTGCTCTTCGTAAGTGCCGCAATAAGCCCGAACAGATCCAAGTGCTCGGTAAGTTCATCATCCAGTATGGCGTCTAAACCGCTAACTATCGTCACCTGGAATGCTTGCTCTGTAAGAGCAAAAAAGATTGAGCTTGCCGACTTCCTCCGTAAGCACAGCATCGACGTGGGCCTTCTAACCGAGACCCATCTAAAGTCCGGCGACAGCTTCTGGTTGCCTGACCACAACACTATCCGGCTTGATCGCACCAGCTCCAGGGGGGGTGGTGTTGCGGTCGTCGTCAAGAAAGGAATAAAATACCACACTCTGTCCCATATCCGCACCTCTATCATCGAGGCCCTTGGTGTGGAGGTGGAGTCGTCGACTGGATACGTCCAGTTCATCGCCGTCTACTGCCCTCGACAGTGTGCCGCCAGCAGTGGACTAGCGGCTAAATTCAAGAAGGACCTGTCCACCATCACCCGTACCGGTTCCCGCTTCGTAGTTGGAGGAGATCTGAATGCTCGCCATGAGGCCTGGCGGAACTACCAGCAGAACCAGAACGGTCGTCTCCTGTTCGACCACTCACAGCATGGGCTGTATTCCGTTTGGTTTTCGGATGAACCAACATTCATCTCATCGGCGGGCAACCCATCGACGCTAGACCTGTTCCTGACAAATATCGGCTTGTCCAAGCCGGTAGCCTTGAACGAACTCAGCTCCGACCACCAACCGGTGGTGGCTGAACTGGGCTGCAACGTGGCTCCTGCTTCAAGCCTGCGCAAGGACTATCATCGCGTAAACTGGGCCCAGTTTGGACGCGTGGTAGACAGGCACATCATCGACAACCCGCCGCTTGACACCGTGGAGGACATCGTCCGAGCGTTGGAGGGACTCCACCAAGCCATAACCGTGGCTGACGAGGCGTGCGTCCGACGAGTTCCTGTGAGGGGTAAGTTTATTGCCATTGATTCCCACACCCAACTTTTGATTCGCCTGAGAAATGTTCGTAGACGCCAGTTTCAGAGGACTGGAGATCTGGGCAAAAAACGTGAAATGGCTGATCTGAACAGACAGATTGCTTCCAGAATGGACTCACTCCGAAATGAAAGTTTCGGGCGTGCTGTCCAGAATCTGGACGACCGCTCCAGACCATTCTGGAAGGTAGCCAAGGTCCTGAAAACTCATCCCAAACCCATTCCACCTCTCAGAGTCGAAAATGATGACGATCGGCTTTTAATCACCCCACAGGAGAAAGCAAATGCGATCGGCGAGCATGTCGCTTCATCGCATTTGCTTGGCTCGAATATCCAAAGTCCGCTCGAAGATCAGGTTGCGCAATGCGTTCAAAACCTAGATGCCTCCCCTTGTGTCGTGCCTCCGGCGGATATGATTACAGTACAACAAATTTGCTCAGCGCTGAAATGCACCAAGAACATGAAGGCTCCCGGGTTTGACGGTATATTCAACTTGATCTTGAAGAGACTCAGCATGAAAGTGCAGTCTCTTCTAACCGCTATCTTCAACAGATGTTTGGAACTGCACTACTTTCCAAGTATCTGGAAAGTAGCAAAAATCATACCAATCCGCAAACCCGGTAAGGATCCAACATTGCCTTCAAGCTACAGACCAATCAGCCTCCTTTCAGCGCTGAGCAAATTGTTCGAGAAACTCATTCTCAATCGTTTGCTCAAGTTTGTCGAGGAAAATAACATTCTCCTTCCGGAACAGTTTGGATTCAGAAAGGGGCACTCCACCAATCATCAGCTAGTACGGGTGATGAATAACATCCGAAGTAACAAAGCTGTATCCAAGTCCACAGCCATGGCCTTGTTAGACGTTGAAAAGGCGTTTGACAATGTTTGGCATGACGGACTTGTGTACAAGCTTTGTAACTTTAACTTCCCATTACATCTGGTTAAAATCACCCGTAACTACCTTCAGCAAAGGTCGTTTAAGGTATCGTTGAATGGTTGTCTTTCCGACACGTTTTCCATCCCAGCAGGAGTGCCGCAAGGCAGTCTGCTGGGCCCCTTGCTTTACAGCATTTATACTTCCGACATTCCTCCCCTTGGAAACGGTTGCGTGTTCTTCCTGTTCGCAGATGATACCGCAATAGCCGTCAAAGGAAGGATGTCTCGCGAAATAACGAACAAACTTCAACGATGCCTTAACGCCTTTGCTTATTATGCCACCACGTGGAAAATTAAAATCAATCCCTCCAAAACACAAGCGATCATGTTCCTACATCGGCAATCGCCCAAACTGAAACCGGCTCCATCTTGTACTGTAATCATGGATGGCACAAGGGTTGAGTGGTCCGCCGAAGTAACCTATCTCGGGATGTTGATCGATGAAAAACTCCTCTTCCGTTCGCATGTAGAGAAAACTGTAGTCAAGTGTTCTACCTTGGTTAGGTGTCTGTATCCGCTGATTTGCCGCAGATCCCGCCTCTCAAGGGTGAACAAACTGGCCGTCTACAAACAAATCATAGCACCTGCGATCCTCTACGCAGCTCCGGTGTGGGAATCATGTGCACAGACTCACAGGAACAAAATTCAGGTCGCTCAGAATAGAGTGCTGAGGATGGTTCTTGATCGTCCTTTCGACACTAGAATAACAAATTTACATGAAGAGGCAGGCATTGCCAAAATAGATTCCAAAATTAACGAAATTAAGACTAAATTTGCACAAAAATGTAATTTATCAGAACATGCTTTGATAAGCAATTTGTATATAGTAGGTTAGGTGTATATAGTAGTTGTAGGTTAGTTGTAGTTGTAAATAGTAGTTATAAGTAGACTCCTTTTTCCAATTCAAATCATACCAATCCCACCAAGGTGGTCATACTTTAAAATAGGCCTGATAGGACTAGAAACTGTAAATAATAATTAAAATCTCACTATACTAAAGTTGAAAAGACGCATCTGTGTCACTTGAAAAATTCATACATGTAAACCACACAAACACAAGAAATAAAGATCATTTAACTGTCAAAAAAAAAACCGTGCAAAACAAGAGTTCTTTTCCGACCAAGCACCAGCAAACATCAGCAGCAGTAGAAGCAGAATTTGTAGAGAGAAAGAGGAGAGAATAAACAGTTGTTAGCGTAGCCGTCCCGATCAAGTTTATTTTGCACACATCCCTGGTTTGGAGCAGCGTCGAACCCACCAGCTCTTTTCAGAGCCCTTACGAGGATTTCCGATCGACGCTTGCTTCCTCCACCACCCTGCCGGTACAGTCCACTACCAAAAGGGAAAGTTCCCTCCCAGTCCGAACAACCGATAAGGCGTAGCTAAAAACTTCACCGATATCTACTGTCTAAAATCTCTCTATTGTTCGCTTGTTCGATCGACGCTTGAGTAGGTATTGTTCAGCGGTGGAACCCAAACTACAACAACGGTGCCGAGAGAATTAAATCTGTTCAACGCCACTTTCTTCGTTTTGCGTTGCGTAGATTGCCCTGCGAAAGCCGTTGTCAGACACAAGCAGAGCCCTAACCGTGGCCGATATCCTGCAAGGAAGGACATTCTGACACCTCGACCACTTCGTAACAACCTTATGCTAGGACTGCCTCTACGTCGCACAAATTATGAAGCATACGGTGCGATTTGCGGAGTGCAGAGAGTATTCAACAGAGTTATCTCTGTTTTCAACTTTCATCTCTCCTGTGATGCTCTTCGTCGAAAGTTTTCTTCTGTTTTACGCCGGCAGGAGTAACTGACTATAAGATAATTGTTTTTAAATGATTTATATGTTATGACCATGCTTGAATGTATTTTTTTTTACTGTGGTTTATAAGGTGAAAATCATTGGGGCTTCATCCTGCCTGTTGAAGTAAAACAATAAACATGTCTGCTCAGTCTGGACAGCGCTTAAGACATTATAAATAGGTAAAATTGCACCGCAATTTGATTTCAATCTATAATGATAATCCTGATCAACATCCTCATGCAAGAAGATGTCTAGCAAAATCGGATTTAATTTTTTGAAATTTTGTTCTGCGAACGTCACGAGATTTTAAATCGACATTTTGCAACAAAGTGACGTTCGTAGAACCCACTTCGAATACTGGTCAAAATGCAAGTTTTTGGCGTTAATATGGGCTGTTTGGTGAAAATACAAAAAAGCGAAAATTTTCCATACTGGCGCATATGTCACTTTACTGTCACACGACAGTTTAAGTGACTCCATGGAGTAATCGGATAGTTTTAGTAGGATTGAGAGTTTCACCTCTTTGTAACCTGTTTGTACCTATTTAATCATTACATATAGAAATATAAAATGCGTATTTACAAACCTATTTAGCTGGCCGGTGGTTGTACTTTTGCCATTTCCGCTTTGAATTTGGCAATGGTTTCTCGCGCCAGTTTCAGCTTATCCTTCAGAAGTGAGATTTCTGTTTTAACCTTACCCTTCGTCTCAATTATATTCTCAAGAGACTGAACTTTCTTATCTTCAACTGAAATTAAAGAATCATCCGATTTCAAAATTAACGTACCGCATCAAAACACGAAAGCACTACTCACAATCCGTATCGTGCTTCCACGAGCCACCCGTCACCGGTTGCACATTGGTCAGCAGCTGTTGCATCAGCTGGGTTGGTTCCTGGAATACAATTTCCTCGTACTGTTCCGAGACCAGCACCTTTTTGCCTTCCAGCTGTGGTGAAACTTCTCCGTCCAGAATGGGCGACTGGAATAGCTTCAGGATGTGATACATCGTGACCGGCCGTTCCGTGGGATCGTGAAAGTGAATCTTGATCACAATCTCAAATTCTCCCCAGCCGGTTTCCGTAACTTCGAACGGTGGTTTCGTGACGACCCTGTTCGGGTTGGCATAGCTTTCGTGTAGCTTGAAGTGAATCTTTTTCACGTAGGTGGACATGTCTTCGTTGTGGTAGGGTTTCACGTAGACCGTCCACTGGTGAGTGTGGCCATCTTCTTCACGTTTCTTGCCAAACGATCGGGCCACGTTGCCGTAGACTAGAGGTTTCACGATTGTGAGGCCCTGAAAATATAAGTTGTTTTGCCGTTCGAAAGTGTATCAAGATAGGAGGAAGTTACCTTCACACGTCCGCCGGAATCTGGCCCGAAATCAGTCGAGATATTCATGTTGATGTTTGTTTCGACTTGGAAACCTTGTTAAGTGTATCACTGCACCAATTTTTTTTAGAATGGTAGAATTTTACATTCAAAACGTAAAGGAACGTTGAAGAATTCTGTAGAAAGGTTTTGTTTTTGACTATATTTCATGCATGAAGTTCGACGCTTCGATTTGATAGTTTGCTGTGTTGACAAACAAAACAGTGTTGGCAAATAAATAACTTTTATATTTTTATACACTGAAACAAATCGGCATGTACGGTTTATTGGATCCATCTTATACACCGTTCACATAACAGCGTAGTCATTATACCTGCTACGTGTACATACCTTGTTACCTGAAGACGAGGAGGGAATCTTCGGATTCATGGAGGAGGACATCAGAAATGTGATGAACTAGCCTACGGCTAAAAATCACAAAAATAAAGAAAAAAAAATCAGAAATGAGGAAGCTCGTATGCGAGGACAAAAGTGTTACATCTGCAAGGAACGGCAGATTTTGCAATGTAAAATGTAAAATTACGTTGTAAACTATACGTTGTGTTCGGGGTACTCCTATACAACGTATATTCGTAATAAGTCAGGTAACACAGTAGCCACAGCAAAACATAATATTTCCTGCATCGTACACAACAAAAAAAGTTGTTGAATATTACATTGAAACTGCTGCAACCAGGTCAATCCATCGGTTGTGTATTATCACATTGTACAATGTACATCGATTTTTCGAACAAAATTACAACCATTGATGTAATATTGTATCTGCTTTTTGCTATTACATCATTATTTCATACATCAGCTTGAATTACGTTGATCGATATTACATTTTTTTTGCTGTGTAGATAGAGTCGTCCCCCTCGCGGAAAACAAGATCGACGGAAAAACAAATCAAGGAAAAAAATCAGCTAACATAAACTAACACCCAGTAAAAGAGCTGTCAAACTGTTAGCATCACAGTCGCAAGTATTTTTGCATTCGTACACCACCATTCAAACCGCCAGAAGGAGGAAGAGCTAAAAAAATACTACAAATAGATAAAATTGTGTAGATAAGGTCACTGGCTTGGACACTGGTTATATATAATAAACGATACTTAGAGAGGAGTCTGGCGTTTTTATCTTTATTATTCGTATATTTATAGAAGCTGGAAGCTCATATAGTGAAAACTGCCAAATGTCAAAAATTTTTATTGCTGAAAGATCAGTAAAGAAATATTGCTAGTTTTCAGTAAAATGTTGTCATTTTGACAGAAGTTGGAATTGCTGAAAAATTCAGCAGTATTTGAAGTTGATTTACGTGCAAAATAATAATTGAGTGCATCGCAATATTTTGCACATTTCTTTGTGCTATTAATTAACCAACTAAGATCAATTAATCAATAGAGTTAGAATATTGTTTTTGATTCAAAAACCTAGTTGAATTTCAGAACACACAAAAAACAAAGAACCTCTTGAAAGGCTCATTGTCATTAGAAATACTCAGAGGAAGAGATAGGCGGAGAAAACAAAATACAATTCGGCAGCAGGGATTCGTTGCTAAATTATCTTACTACCCTTGCTAGAAGCTAGCATTTCAAATGACTTGTATATTTGATTCGATTTACGTGCAAAATAATAATTGATTGCATCGCAATATTTTGCAAATTTCTTGGTGCCATTCATTAATCAACGAAGATCAATTATTCAACAGAGTTAGAACATTGTTTTTGATTCCAAAAACTAGTTGAATTTGAGAAGCACACAAAACATAAAGGTGATTGAATTTCTGTTCGATTGCAATACTCTCAAAATTATTCTAGTAAGAATAAGAAATCTTCGGAAAAATTCTAATATGAATGTTCCATTGGCTCAGATTTTGACATTTCATTTGGCTCAAAACATTCTCTCCGCCCATCTCTCCTATAGTCGCTATATTCATAGTCTGGCGGATAGAATTTCGATCTATCAAAAAGCGGTACCAATTCAATATATTTTACACCAACAATTGAAAAGGTATACTATCAACTTTTATAAACAAAACGTTGATTATTCTTTCCTCGTCAATCGAACGCAAATTACCGGCATCATCGGATAAGGGAACGTTTCCCCAAACCCAAAGATGATGTTAGTTTGCGTAGGCGAGCCTTCAGGTACGAGAAAAGGGTTTCCGAAGTTTTGTTCGTAATAGATGATGTGCTCTTTTCTGTTGTTGGTCGTGATTTGCTCGATTGGTTCCGCTATTTGACAGCTCAATTGGTTCCCGAGATTCTATTCGCCAGACTATGAATATAGCGACTATAATCTCTCCCTCTGAGTATTTCTAATTGTCATGGTCCAAAAATCCAATAGGGCATATAGTATGAGACACTAGAATCAAACCGCAGAAAATATCAATCGTGCATCGTACAGTTCCAGGAACCGATTCCGATAGCGGAGGCAATGAGAAAGAGTAAAGTTTTCGCAGAAGGTAAGATTGCAACTACTGTCTAGATATGTCGAGGGTGGTTTTGAAAAACAAGATGATTATTTTCCAGATCGCCAGCATATAGACGAGTGCATGGAGGGATTTGAGTTCACTCACTCGACAAAAAGTGACACAACAGCGGGGCCCTGTTTACTAAAAATGAACACATGAATAATGCTCACATAACATTTGAAAATGGATTATCAATTTTTCTAAACAACTTGCAAGGTTCTTTTCACGAGAACCAAAGTATGCTTACGTAAACCAAGAGCACTATAGGGAAGGGGAGAATTTCTCCTACCCGATGGTGTTGTTAATTTACGTGGGCGTATTCGGTTCGCGCGAAAAGGGCTTAACAAGCTTTGTGTACAACAGTTTATAGGCCCGTTTCAAATGTTAGGCGAGTATTATTCATGTGTTCATTTTTAGTAAACAGGGCCCCGCTGTTGTGTCACTTTTTGTCAAGCGAGTGAACTCAAATCCATCCGTGCAGCGCTGCCATTTATACAGATTTATCTGTATTATACAGATTTTTTAATCTTAATACAGACCCGATACAGAATACAGATTTATCACAGATTTTTAAATTACAATACAGATTTATACAGATTTTTATAAAATGCTTGAGAAAAAAAATTCAAAATTTATAAAAACAAAATAACTTGCTCGATTTTATCAGCGTACCCCCTTCTCTCCAAAATTAAGAGGACAGAGGACCAACCGCTTTCGGATGCATTTGGAGCTGGTAGTAAACGATTTGAGATTGTATGGGGATTTACAGTATTAATTGAATATTTCCAATATAAGCATGTATGTTAAATACAAGAAAAGTGCCCGAGCACATTAAAATGGTACAAATACAAGTACTCGTAAACATTTTACTTGCATTGAAAATGTATTTTGTAAGAAATTGCGGATGTTCTGATATTATTCATACTGCAAAAATGATTTTACCAGCACTAGCGGGGCGACATCTCTCGACTTTTCGGTGTAACTACCACACAAATGATGTAATTAATTGTATTCAACTATATTAAAAACACAGACAAACAGACATAACACATTGAATATTTCTCACTGTAAAACATCGTCGCTAAAACATAACCGCCATCTGTTGAATACACAGTGGTGGGTAGTACGCTGAACAGATGGCGGTAGTGTGTAAACGTCAAACGCAAGGGAATTGACTATGCGCGCCACAGGTGGCGGTACTACCAACTACGATACTTTTAAATTGACCGTTAAATGCTTGTTCGATGAACAATTTGCGAGTGTTATGTCTGTTTGTCTGTGTTAAAAATATCAAATAGTAATGAACTCGTGCACTTTTTTGCATTTAAAACTGCTTATCAGGAAGATAATGAATAGAAACTAAAATCTCCATACATTTTCAAACGGCTTCATATCACTCTTATAAATAAGTACGGACGATATCACAAATGGCGTAATTATATCCCGTATGGTTAGTACGATAGCCCGAATAGGTGGTTAAGCACTTTTTATGGTTATTGTGTATGCACTGTATTTGTAAAACAACAAAACATGATTAATTAAGAAAAAAATCGTCAATACAGAAAATACAGATTTTTTAATAGAGTGGATACAGATTTTTTATAAAACCACCTGGCAGCTCTGCATCCGTGCACTCGTCTATTGGGTCGTTAGAGCACACTGCAGAGATACTTTCGGTGGCTATTAAAAGCGTTTGCAATGTATCGCTGGAGGGATTACAGATTCCGTTCTTTTATATAGGACACTGGTAAGATATAGTCGCACCAGGTTTTACTGCTTATCGCCGGCCAGCTGTGAAAACAAGATGCACTTTCGTTCGACCAATCCCGCTGCATTTTGGAGCCCCGCGTCTGGGAGAAAACCTTCACTAAAGCCATCCGCCAAAGACAACATCCCTGATATCAACATCCTGATGTGAATGCAAAATAGAAATATGAATATTTACAAAATACTAAATAAATAAATATAAATATTGGTTTAACCAATATTTATATTTTTTAATAATATTTCCCTTTTACATAAAAGCAATTAAATTAAAAATAATTCGTATCTGAGGTGAAAACTTGTACTAATTGCGGTGAAATAGCCTTCTTTTGAAACAACACTTTTCCAACATCAATCAAAAAGTATTTGGTTTTTAGTTTGACAGTTCTACAATTTGATTTGAAAGTTTAAACTTTTAAAATTAATATTGCGCATTTCACACCAAACTGGACTAATAAGCGCGTTTTCACTTATTAAAAAGTGTGATTAAAGTGCGAGCTTCTGTCTAATCGTCTTGGTGTCTTGGGTGCACTTATTTCTTATGATGCAAGCAATAAGTGCTCCTAAGACACCACAACGGTTTGACGCAAAGGTGCACTTTTATCACACTTTTATGCATTTTTGGGGCAGTTCAGTTTCAGATGCAATCAGCAATAATATGCTAAACATTTGTTTTGAAAGTTGGTTGACTTTCATTTTGAAAGTTAGCTACTTTCTACCAAAAAGAACCAATGCAAACTTTTAATTCTATCAACGGTTCTTTTAATTTTATCAATGATTATTTTGTGTGTGTAAAGATTGCTGATTTTTCAGTAATGTGTTGTCAATTTGACTTCGATCCAAATTACTGGTCATTCAGCAAAAATATATTGCTGCAAGGATTGCTGAGCTTCCAGCTCGACAAAATTTTGCTGGTTTCCAGCAGTAAAAACTGAGTGTGTATACCTATATTCGATTGTCATGTTGTTGTTGAGAAAAAACGAGCAAAAAACCGTCGTACCATCCTGTCGGGAAAGAAAAACATTCTGGATCTGGATTGAAATCCAAAGAAAAGGAAATCCGAAACCGGTTGGGATCCACGAAAGCAGCAGCATCAGTAGGAACAGATGCTAAAAAAGGTAAATGTCTCGCAAGAAAACCAAGACAAACGTAACGGAACAGTTTCTCATTGTAAATCGTAGGTTCTCACCAGCAGCAGCCCAATAACGGCCCCACCAATTAATTGCAAATTGCACCCATTACTTGGTCCTTGTTCCCGGGTGGCACGTGCTCATTCGTCTTCCTCCTGCAGCGGCAGGGCCTGTCTAACTCTGAAAGCCGGTGCACCGAGCTGCGGTCGTATTAGCTCCAAATAACCTTCCCGTCGGGTTTGCTTTTTCATTAAACAAAATAACAGCAAAGGAGTCGCAGGGGGCTCTGTCATTTTCAGCGTTTTGTTATGGTTGAGGATATGGTTGCCAGAAAGTATATGTTTTCGGTTGAAGTTTTGACAGTTCGGTATCACGATGAAACACCCAGAAACACCTTCCAGCACTCAAAAACACACATGAAGCACAGACACAAGGTGTCAGAGTGACTTATTCCCTGGGTATACCGGTTTCAATTAAAATTGCCCGTTAAAATTGCCTAATATTGGCTGCTTCTATTATTCTCATTAAAAAGTCACGTATAAATTACGTGAAAAGCAATTTAAACAAAACAAAAATCACCTAAAAGTTACCAGTTTGTCATGTAGTTTTCACCCCAGCAGTACGAGGAAATCAGGTCTTATTTGACATAATTATCACGTAGATAATTGATGCTGAATTTTGGTCGGTTACGTGAAGAAATAAGTTGGACGAATGTTTCAAAGTAAATCGTACGTGAACATTTTTCAGAGTGTCAAGTACTCTTTATCTCGATTTTGTTTTTAAACATTTCAAATGAATGTCAAAATAAGCACGCAGCCATCGAACAAAATGTTTGTGGTGAAATGGTGAATAAAAATTGACACTTCAATCCAGCGCTGCCATTTATACAGATTTATCTGTATTATACAGATTTTTTAATCTTAATACAGACCCGATACAGAATACAGATTTATCACAGATTTTTAATTTACAATACAGATTTATACAGATTTTTATAAAATGCTTGAGAAAAAAAAAATTCAAAATTTATAAAAACAAAATAACTTGCTCGATTTTATCAGCGTACCCCCTTCTCTCCAAAATTAAGAGGACAGAGGACCAAGCGCTTTCGGATGCATATGGAACTGGTAGTAAACGATTTGAGATTGTATGGGGATTTACAGTATTAATTGAATATTTCCAATATAAGAATGTATGTTAAATACAAGAAAAGTGCCCGAGCACATTAAAATGGTACAAATACAAGTACTCGTAAACATTTTACTTGCATTGAAAATGTATTTCGTAAGAAATTACGGATGTTCTGATATTCTTCATACTGCAAAAATGATTTTACCAGCACTGACGGGGCGACATCTCTCGACTTTTCGGTGTAACTACCACACAAATGATGTAATTAATTGTATTCATCTATATTAAAAATATCAAATAGTAATGACCTCGTGCACTTTTTTGCATTTAAAACTGCTTATCAGGAAGATAATGAATAGAAACTAAAATCTCCATACATTTTCAAACGGCTTCATATCACTCTTATAAATAAGTACGGACGATATCACAAATGGCGCAATTATATCCCGTATGGTTAGTACGATACCCCGAATAGGTGGTTAAGCACTTTTTATGGTTATTTTGTATGTACTGTATTTGTAAAACAACAAAACATGATTAATTAAGAAAAAAATCGTCAATACAGAAAATACAGATTTTTTAATAGAGTGGATACAGATTTTTTATAAAACCACCTGGCAGCTCTGCTTCAATCTTCGCCGTTCTCGCATCCGAAACGTAAACATCATTCGCTTGGCAGAAATATGGATGGTAAGTATTCCGCAATTATTCCACAAATTAAAGGCTCATATGGTTTCCTGAACTGTATTTTTTAGAAAACAACAATGCCAGCTTGCTGGTAGTTGTGATGGACACGAATCCGTCCCAGCGGATCATCCGGGAAAACGCCCACCACTTGACCCAGTGTTTGGACTCGATTGTGGCCTTCGCCAATGCTCATCTCATGCAGAAAGCCCAAAACAGATTGGCCGTCCTGGCTTGCCATCATCATGCTACGTAAGTTGGACTTATTCCAGGATGAAAAACAGATTTCAATAAGCCATCTTTCCAGAGAGTTCCTTTATCCTACACCTGGAAAACCACTTGACATCCGGCAGGCCGATGGGCAGTACGAAGCTTTCACGTTGGTCGAAAAGACTATCAAACAAAAGTTGGCTAAAGTCATCAGTGAAGCACCCCGGTTGAGCGTTCCCACTGAATCCCTCCTGGCAGGAAGCATGGCCATGGCCTTGTGCTACATTACTAGGGTAATTCTATTTGAGATTTCTAAAATAAGAATAATTTAACTTCGGATGGTTCCAGATCAACCGCAACAAACCACCCGGGGTAAAGATCAACTCGCGCATTTTGGTCGTGACGGGGAGTAACGAATGCGCTTCACAATATATGACCTATATGAATGTGTTCTTCACTGCTCAGAAGCAGAACGTCACACTGGATGTCTGCGCTCTGGATAAGCCTCTGAGTTTGCTGCAGCAGGGCTGTGACATTACCGGCGGACAGTACCTGAAGTTACCTCAATTGGATGGCTTTCTGCAGTATTTGTTGGTCAGTACAACAGACATTGACATCGATACTCTTTTCCGAGAATTGCGTAATTCAATGTAATTCACCATTTTAGTGGGTCTTCCTACCGGAACCTTTAACGAGATGCAAGCTCGTACTCCCGCCATCAGTGAAGGTCGATTACCGGGCGGCGTGCTTCTGCCACCGTGAACTGATCGACATTGGTTTCGTGTGCTCTGTGTGTCTGTCCATTTTCTGCAAATTTAGTCCGATTTGCACCACCTGTCAGTAAGTATATTGGGGGAAGATCTTCACTTGTAGGGCTTTCTTTCAGCACAAATTTTGTCTTTTGCAGCACTGTATTCAAAGCGCCGGCTCCGATAGCGGCCAAGCCGAAGAAGAAGAAAATGAAGACATGAGAAATACCTTTCCTCTAGTTTAAGTGCATCTATTTGTTAAATATACAATACCGAACATGATCTACAATTATCTTCCGCTAGTTTGTTAGTTGTTGCGAACGAGTTTGCAAAAGTACATTGGTCCGAAATTCGCCGGCAGAAACGGTAGTACCAGTTGGCCGTATTTTAGCGTATTTGGGTAGGCGAATTTGTACATGTCGGAGAATGGTTGCATGACCAAGCTTAGATCCCTACGAAAAATAAAAGTGTTCATTATGCTAGACAGCACCAGATATATGAACCGCCAACTCACCTCACCGTAACCGTCATCCCGGTATCGCTAAACACGTTACTAAGGGCCATGTGCACCACTCCATCGTTCTGCACCGGGCTCAAACTGCAAGTCGAATAAACTAACGTTCCACCGGGCCTCAGCAGCTTCAAGCAGTTGCTCAAAATAGCTGCCTGTAGTTCGGGCAGTCGCAATCGCTCCTTCACTCGACTCGATTTGAAGATATTATTATCATTCTCCGTCACCGAGTGTCGATCGGTCGTGCAAGGAACGTCCACCAGAATTCGATCATACATCTCGTACTCATTCAGAAACCGTGCATCCTGTTGCGTAACGAAGCAGCGCTGTTTCTTGCACGATTCGCCGAAATCGTAAAAGTAACTATTCATCAGTTTTTTGATCCTGTTGACTCGACTTTCCTGAGCGTCGTTACACACGAGCGTTCCCGGTCGGAGTGTTTGTAGCATGAGCAGAGATTTCCCCCCAGGAGCAGCGCATGCATCCAGTACGCGATCCCCCGGTTGGACGTCCAACACCAAAGCAGGAAGGACGGAAGCTCCATCCATGAGGAAATGCGATTGAACGCTGGTGGAACAAGTTCGGGGTGGCCGAAAGTCCGACACATTCCCCCGCTCGTAGGTAAATATGTTCAAATTTTCCGGGAAGTCAAGGTTGTGTTCCATTTCGATCGACACCGGGAAATCAGCACTGTTATTGTAGTACTTGTAGTGATCCGATTCCGGGACATAGTCTTCCATTCCTTTCAACTTGGATGCTGGGATGAACTCATGCAACCCGGACGTTCCCACATTGGGGTCGATTAAACGTTGAAAGTCCATCTCTGCGTCATCTCGTAGAGTCTGATTCAAGGATTTCTTGTAATCGACGAATTCATCCAATACATTTTCGGCATCCCGTCGAGTTAAGTCTGGCACGTTCTCTTTGTACAACCGCTCGACTTCCTGCCGCTGTTGATTCTCGGCAAACGCTTCAATTTTTTGATCCAGCTTGAAGATCTTATCATCAGAGAACATCTCCTTATTTTCCTGCGTCAGGTACTGCTTCTTGGCATTGTAAATGTCTCTCAGGTTAATCGCACCGTCCGCTTCCAGGAAGGCGGTCGTCCGCTCGTTATCACCGAACTGGTTAACCAGCGCCATGTACTTGTGTTCGGTCAAAAGTGCCACACGGATACTCTTCCATCGATTACCGAACACCTGACCGTAGAAGTCATCAAAATTTTCCAGCGCTTGATCTTTGGCGAATTGTTTCTTCTGGGCTTGTGACTGCAAGGATGGAAACATTAAAGAATGGCGTCGGATGCTGAGTATAGAAGTAATTTGAAAAACATACCCAGTGAGTTTTGCTGTGCTTGGACCTAAATAAGTAAAGTAACACTTTTCTCGAACGTAACATGATGGATATTTAAAGAAGCTTTACTATAAATTGAAAATCACAAATTTGCAGCCGGTTCTTTTTTGTATTTACAAACAAAACGCACGTGCCGTCAAAGGAGAGACGGTGGTGAATAAACATATGTTCTTATTGGAATATCACCAACAGTACGCAGCCAATGTTGAATATTTTTCATTTGGCAGAAGAGTTGCCGGTATACACGCAAAGAAAAAAAAGTTAGATTTAATGTTTAAAGTTAAAGCAGTTTCGAGAAAACCCGCACATATTCAAAAAATGAATGAACGCTGTTTACTCATTGCATGAATAAACTCGTTTTTCTCGAAACTGGTTAAATTTTAATCATTAATAAATAAAGACATTTTTCTCGGTGTTTAATGAGTCACGCCAAGAGAAAAACAGTTGAACCCGCATAACGGTTTTCGAAAGATTCCCTCTCTTTTCACTTGGCAACAGAGGACTTCAACATCAACTTACAATGACTTCTAGCGAGAGAAAAAAAATTGCGGTTGTAGTAAATCATTATATCAGTGATTTTGTCAAATTATCTTAGCAAAAAATAGTAGAAATTCTCATTACTAATCATTACTGAACGTATCCCCTAACAATGTAGTGCTCACTGCGTGTTTATGATCATTTCTTCGATTATATTTTATATTTTATTGCAATACCTTTCGTGGACCTTTCATAGCATCGTAATGTTTGTTTACTTTGCACGATAGGTAGCCGGTTTGACAGTTCAATAGGTATAGACTTGACTTCACTCTTGGCGTGACATCATTATACACCGACTGTACCCTAAACCAGGTTTATCCTTATGGGTGAACCTTATTAAAGATTTCAGTGGAGGTGAAAAAATAAACCCTTATGAAATATAAACCGAAATTTTACTTCTTATTTAAAAATAAATAGGGTAGAGGACTACTTCGGCCTGATCGCCCATTTTGGGCCTATCGAGCAGAAAACTTTAAATAAGTCCATGATTTCAGAGTTAATAAGTCAATTATGCGTTTGGTACGATACTTTAGTTAATAAGCTACCGAACGATGTCAATGAGAACGTGTGATATGAAGGTTTGCACCCATAATTCCCAAAAACAAAAGAAGCGCTCCGACCGAACCGATTTTTATCTTCATCCGATAGGCCGAAGTGATTTCATTGGCGTTTCAATGCGTTAGGCCGAGTTTAGAATCCGTAGGCCGAGTTTGGCGTCACGAAGTAGTGTTAGACTTTTGAAAATATCTCAACGATTGGTTTCTTTTTATCAAATCTGACGGTACGTACGGAAAGGTAAATAAATTTGGAAGCCTCGAGTAATAATAACATTCCGTTTGGTGCTAAACTGCTCTAGATTAAGAACGACTAAGTGCGGGTTGTGCTTAATAGGCCGGAAATGGGGTAGTTAACTCTACAATGGATGTGGATATGAAAACTTAATTTATCAAAGTACGACGTGGTTGTCCCAACAATCAATACGAAACTAACGATTTTAAATTGGCTCACCACTTTAGTAGCCTATTGGTCCCAAGCAAACGATTAACGTATCCTATTCTAGTTGAAATTCTATAACTACACTATGTTTGTTTTGATTCGCTATGAAAGTTTGACAGATAACATCAGGGGTGTGTGGATTCATGCAGAACATGCAGGGGTGAGTGAAATAGCTTGAGACTGCTTGGGACCGTTGTTCTGGTACTGAGTGAGCCAAAAATAATAATGATTTTCTTCGGGACCCAGTGGTCTTAGAGTTACCTCTATGGTTGTACCATAGAGGTAACTCTAAGACTAGTAGCTCCCGAAGAAACGTGCTCAACTTTTTGGCTCAGCTCTGGTACTATCTTCGGTCCCAAGCTAATCGATTCACCCCTCGAAACATAGGAAAATCCACTAACCCCTCATTTTATCTGTCAAACTTTCATAGCGAATCAAAACAAACATTGCGTAGTACTAGAATTTCGACTAGAATGGGGTACATTAATCGATTTGCTTGGGACCAATAGGCTAGTCAAGTAGTAAGCCAATTTAAAATCGATAGTTTCGTATTGATTGTTGGTTGTACCAGTATCAAGTCCAAATGTTGTCGAAGAAGTAGCTCGCAACACACATGCGAGGCATATCGATTGTGCCTTTGTTGGTTATTCATTCCGATGGATGCATCTGTGGCAACGGCAACTATGCGATTGGTGTAATGCACTTGAAGTTCTGCCACGTGCAAGTACATCTGTTGAAAGGATTGTCAAATGGTCACGTTAACCGCACCAGCGATCTCTTCGAGGTCATGAAGATAGTTACCGTGGCTATTAAACGTGCAGGTATGATGTCCACACGCGAAAAAATCCGATCTCTGAAATGAGAAAAATTACTCATGAACACAGCGTATTGTCATGTTATGAAAATATGCCATGAATAATATTCATGATATCATGAGCAACTTTTGCGTAACGCAGCAAACATTCCCAAAATCATGAATCATCCTAGTTGAAATCATGACCTAAATTCATTGGTTTAACTTTTAACCAAAAAATGTAAAAGAATAAAATAAGGCATCAGAGACTGGATTCGAACCAAGAACCTTGAGATCATTAAACACATTCATTGACCACTAGACTATCAGTACTTGTATGAGATGGAAGGCAAAAGGCGTATATGAGCTACCTATGTAGTGCGGTTTATGAACACGGTTTGCCAAGTACGTGTAACACTTGTAGCGTTCTTGATTCCACTGCATTATGAAATCATGAATTTCCATGACGAAATCATGAATCATTATTACGATTTAACGGGAAGGCAAGTTTTTTCATTTCATGATTTTTTATTCATGAAAATGGAATCAGATAAGTTTCCGTGCATCTCAGCCGCTTTCCAGCTTTTTTGTTGTTGCTGGTCTGGAAGAAGTTACTGTGTTAGTTGTGAATAATTCAAGAGCAATTTTTTTCATTATGTCGTAAGTAACATTCGCACCGATCCGAGAAAAATAAAGTTTTGTTTTGATGACCGAAAAGTTATTTCTATTTCCAATTAAACACATATAATCTCATAGTGATAGCAATGTTTAACATATTCAGCCGGGTTTTAATCATACAAAGGCAAATCGCTAGCTTTCATGCTAAGAAATACTGGTTTTTGAGTCAAAAGTTATTATACGTCGTTTGGTGGCCCCTATTGTTACCTAAGTCAAAGTGTATTTACCAGGATATTCGGGAGAATTATCAATTACGTCTCCTTACGTGCAGCCCATTCATCATTTTAGGACCACCGAAATCATCTTAGCAACAAACAGTTCGATTTATTCACCTTAATAATGAGAAAGCGAAACGACGAAAGTACACTTTTCACGGGTTTCTCAGTGCTGTTACTTAAGGCAAACGGCATCTCCATAGAAATCGGGTGACTTAAGTAACATCGAAAACTATTTTGATCGGAAGGTGATTACGTCAAAAAGCAATTCGACTGGTAAATAAATTTAAAAATGGGATGTGATACTATATTCGGACAGTATATAGTGTAATAGCAGGAGCATCAATTGACACTGATAGCTCGACTTTGTTTACCTTTGTAACATTCGACGTAATGAAAATTTGCTCTTGAATTAATGGGTATTTGCCGTATTTGCAGGGAAGGTTCACACATACCAAGATTAGAGTCGGTGTATAATGAGTCACGCCAAGAGAAAAACAGTTGAACTCGCATCACGGTTTCCGAAGGATTCCCTTTCTTTTCACTTGGCAACAGAGGACTTCTACATCAACTTTAAATGACTTCTAGCGAGAACCAAAAATAACGGCTGTAGTGAATCATAATATCAGTGATTTTGTCAAATTATCTTATCAAAAAATAGTAGAAATTCTCATTACTGATCAAAACCAAACGTATCCCATTACCATTTAATGCTCGCTGCGAGTTTATGATGATTTCTTCAATTTTATTTTATATTTCATTGCAATACCTTTCGTGGACCTTTCATAGCATCGTAATGTTTATTTACTTTGCACGATAGGTAGCCGATTTGGCAGTTCAATAGGTAGACTTGGCTTCACTCTTGGCGTGACTCATTATACACCGACTCTAACCAAGATTAGTGCAGAAGCGGGACATTGGGACTACTGTGTTACCTGACTTATAACGAATATACGCTGTATACGAGTACCCCGAATACAACGTATGACTCGTCTAATTTTGCAGAGCATTTGCAATGTAAATTTAGACGAACTATACGTTGTATTCGGGGTACTCGTATACAACATTATTATTCGTTATAAGTCAGGTAACACAGTAGGTGAAGACTTCCAATACTAAAAAGATCAACTTACTTCTTTCTGGTTTCGTGTCCGATTAATGTGAACCGTAGCACCGGAATCTACAACATTTTATTCCGAGACTCCGGTTGGTTGAAGTTCATGCCACATTTAATCTGAAATGTATTAACATGAAATTCAATAGGCATTAATCAAATTAATCAACCAACATACCTAATATTTATGCTGTGTTCCCTAGAAACAACACAAACCCTCTAAAACAAAACCGCGATTACGGCTGCCATTTTACACTGATCGTGAATGTAAACAAAGATATTTTCAGTCAGTAATGAATAAAATTCAGACCATTCCTGTGCAGAACATTTTTCTTGGAAAGTGTCTAAATTTTATGCACTTTTCTGCTATAAATTTTAACCACTTTATGATAGCTCAAACAAGTTTTATAGGGAGCTGTAGCGTCGAACTAACCTCACTTTTTTTTACATCTGGCAGTGTGTTGTTTACATGAACTTAGAATATAATTTTGAACTATTTTGAAAATATTTTTTTCAGATTTGTCAGAAAGGAAGATTTAAAAAAAACATCGATGACACATCTTATAGTTATTAAAATTTTAAAACTAGCATCCACTTGAACCGACTAACAGATAAAGGTAAACAAACCACTGTTGTCTGTCAAACCGATGAACTGGAGTTCATTGCATTCATTCGAAATGTCAGCGTGCAGCCAACCGGTGGAAACTAACGATTTTAAATTGGCTTACTACTTGACTACCCAAGTAACCAAAAGTTCCGCATTAAACGATTAAAATCACTTTCAAGTTCCATACAGTTCAAATAAAGTTCCGACCGAATCTTCAAGTTCCATAAAGTTCAAATACATTTTCGACAGAACTTTCAAATTCCATAAAGTTCGAATAAAGTCCCGACAGAACTTTCAAGCCACAAGTCTTTATAGACTACTTAGTGCACGTATGGATTTGAGTTCACTCACTCGACAAAAAGTGGCACAACAGTGGGGCCCTGTTTACTAAAAATGAATACATGAATAATACTCACGTAACATTTGAAACGGGTCTATCAACTTATGTACACAAAACTTGTTAAGCCTTTTTCGCGCGAACCGAATACGCTCACGCAAACTAACAACATCATCGGGCAGAGGAAATTCTCCCCTTCCCGATAGGGCTCTTGCCCAAGTAACAATGTTGGTTTTATGAGGGTTCTGTAGACCATGATTTAGACTTGTATAATGCTATAAAACCACGATAAAACCAGCAATGTCACGTGGGTTGGTTTGCATGGGCGTACTTCGGTTCTCGTGAAAAGAACCTAGCAAGTTGCTTACAAAAGTTGATAGGCCCTTTTCAAATTTTACGCGAGCATTATTCATGTGTTCATTTTTAGTAAACAGGGCCCCACTGTTGTGTCAAAAAAATTTCAGTAGATGAACTAAAGTTCACCGGTGCACAGGTCTATCAACAATCAATACGAAACTAACGATTTTAAATTGACTCACCACTTTAGTAGCCTATTCGTCCTAAGCAAACGATTAACGTACCCTATTCTAGTTGAAATTCTATTACTACACTATGTTTGTTTTGATTCGCTATGAAAGTTTGACAGATAACATCAGGGGTGTGTGGATTCATGCAGAACATGCAGGGGTGAGTGAAATAGCTTGGGACTGCTTGGGACCGTTGTTCTGGTACTGAGTGAGCCAAAAATAATAATGATTTTCTTCGGGACCCAGTGGTCTTAGAGTTACCTCTATGGGTCTATTGACGAGTGCACGGATGAATTTGAGTTCACTCACTCGACAAAAAGTGACACAACAGCGGGGCCCTGTTTACTAAAAATGAACACATATGTGTTCATTTTTAGTAAACAGGGCCCCGCTGTTGTGTCACTTTTTGTCGAGTGAGTGAACTCGTCAATAGAGATTTTCTCGATCCGTGCACTCGTCAATAGAGATTTTCACGACTGGTTGTATTGGTGCACTGTGTGAAACTGTGGTAGTGAAAATTCGAGGAAAATACATAACAAACCGGGGGCGACCCCGGCGTAGTGGTTAACACCCATACCTCTCACGCCAAAGTCACGAGTTCAAATCTCACCCCCGGACAAGTCACGAATGACCCAAGAGTGTTAAAGTGACTATAATAAAAAAAAAAAAAAAAAAAAAAACATAACAAACCGCTGTCAAACTCATTTTGACAGATCGAAATACTTGCATTTTGAGGTTAGCCCGAGGAAAATAATAAAAAAAATTACACGGCGATAGACTTCCGTTAGTGTGCGTGCGTGTGACATTTGATTGCTGAATCTCAGCAAACAAATGAAATGTTTGCTGAGATCTCAGTGAAACTTTTTTGCCGAGATTTGCACAGCCAAGCTCGGTAGAAAAAACTAAGTGTGTACATAGATTAAAAACATAGTGTAGTACTAAAATTTTGGCTAGAATGGGGTACGCTTATAGATGTACTTGGGACCAATAGCACTGACAAACCGACATGAAACTTAAACTTAACTCTTGATCGAGAATAAAAAAAAACTAAGTGTACGTTAATCGATTTGCTTTGGACCAATAGGCTAGTCAAATAGTGAGCCAATTTAAAATCGTTAGTTTCCACCGGTTGGTAATACCATAGATGTAACTCTAAGACCAGAAGGTCCCGAAGAAACGTGCTCAACTTTTTGGCTAAGCTCTGGTACTAGCTTTGGTCAAAAGCTAATCGATGCACCCCTCGAAACATAGGAAAATCCACTAACCCCTCATTTTATCGGTCAAACTTTCATAGCGAATCAAAACAAACATAGTGTAGTACTTGAATTTCGCCTAGAATGGGGTACATTAATCGATTTGCTTGGGACCAATAGGCTACACGCTAACTCTAAAGTACCCATTAATGAGTAAAATTTTACCCATTTTGAAGAAAAGTGGCTTAACTCATGAAATGAGTAAAACCGTCTTTACTCATTAATGAGTATTTGATGAATACGCCAAAAAAAGGGGTATTTTTTATCCGTCTATCTTTTTCTGTACATGAGTAAAAAGTACCCATTTTATTGATTTGGTTTTTGCTTCATGGGGGGAGGAGTCTGTGATCAAACCAATTGAAATCCTTAAACAATGAAATCAAAACAATAATAATTATTACACTTTATTGCACGTAAGCACTTATCATAATCGTTGACCAATCGAGGCATAGTGTCCGTCTGGTAAAATCCATAAGAAAACGTCAGACTGTGCGTGAAACATGGTGGCCATCGTAGTATCCTTTCACTTCACTGAAAATTCCTATGAAAAACTGAAATTATTTGCTAGCATAGAAGATTTTTCGATGGTGCCGTCAACGCCAGTATTCAGTTCAGATCCCTGGTGGGAGGGATGCTGCTCTTCGAGCAGGTTCGGCCCTTCCGCATGTGTACTTCATGTACTTTTTCGAAGATCTTCACTAACCTGAAAGGTACATGTTTTTAGAATGGTTTAATGTTCTTCCTAGTTGCACTTTTTATCCTTACTCGTAAAAGTCGGTACCAGATCGTGACCAGGAATCCTGCTTTCCCTGAAAGTAAAAAAGAATAATTTAACTCCCAGCCGCACAATTATTTTCAAATTAACTTGTTTACCTCAATCAACACCTGCTGGAACGAATCTGTTAATTCGAATCGATTTTTTACGGATCAACGAACGCAAAATTCACGAATGTGTGAACGTCAAAATAGCTGTTTTAACATTTATTGAATGCATATTTTTATCCATTTTAATTGCAGGAGATATTTTCAAAAATGGAGAAAAAGCACCCGCTTTTGGATTTTTGAAAATACCCATTTTTTGACAGTTTTGAATAATTTCAAAAAATGAGTACAAGATACTCATTTAATGAATACTTTCAGGTTAGCGTGTAGTCAAGTAGTGAGCCAATTTCAAACTGGAGGCTTGTTGAAAATGTGCTTATAATCTCTAAGATATCCTATATTTTGATGATATGTTTTCGGATCTTTGGTCAGAGTGACGCACATTTCAACTCAGGTTTTCCTTTATTGACGAATCATGGTTGATAAATGTACCTATATATTCATACGTTTGAATTACGCTTTATTTACTCCATTTTGTTTTAAACAGTTTTGTTTGCGTTTATTTCTTACACATAAGCAGTTTAACACTTTGATTTTCTTATAAGGGATTTCGAGATGGGACTTGTTTCTAGTTGTACGCTTCATTCTCTTTCCCACGATAACCTAATGCAATTGTTTTTTATGCCATTCTAGTTCAGTTCCCGAGCCGTTGCTACTTGTGTTTTGCATGCCATATATAAGTTTATTTTTATTTTTTTAATGTTACTCTAACATTTAAATATCCTTTTCCTCCATTAAAGCATTTTCTCATAGTTGTGTCTAGTGATATACCTACATTGTTTTGTTTTATAGTTTCATGGTTTGCTTCATTGATTTAGCTAAATGCTTGCAATTTCCTTCGCAGAAAGTCTCTTTAAGTAACTTTTAATTGCTTGGTTCCTAAAGTACCAGAGAGGTTTGGCTTTTGAGCCTAAGTATAAGTCCGTCAGAATTGTATAGGTAGGTAGTGGTCAGTGTTATATGTGTGTAGTTAAGTTAAACTTTTGTTCTTCGCATATGGCATCTTTTGAATCGATCGGCGGTATGGATTTCCTCTATTTGTTGTGTTTAAAATCTCAAAACAAAACAATTCCGTATTTTTATAAACCTGGATTTCTATCTTTGTTTATCCAATTAAAGTAAAATTGACTGTCTCTTCTTTTATATTAAGTATCTCTACGTAAAAGTACCTATAGTTGCGAAAGTAAGTAATCCTAATTTGAAGATTTGTCGCAGTAATAGCAAAAATATAAAAAAAAAAATAAAATCTCAAGTAAGAAACAAGAGCTTTGATATCGTTTTGTCGCTTTTTGACTGACAGGAGACGTTGAAACCCCCGTTTTCAATTGTTTGTCACATGGGTGAATGTGCACTATCTTCCCGTGAGCTTCACTGGTTTCACTGTTCTTGCAGGAGAGCCCTCGTTCACTCCTCCTGGTTCGTGTAGGTTGGTTTCGGTTCCTTCGCATTCAGTGGAGTTGCTTCGGCATCGCCATTATCGATCGCACCGTTGTTGGGCTTGTCGCCTTTGTTCCACGGTTGCTCCTCACCAGATCCCAAGAAAGTGTAGCCGAAGATTTCGAGGATATAAAGTGCGATAGTCACGAAGAAGATGACACGCCAGGCTCCAATCGTTTGCTGTGGAAATTGATTATTTGGTTAGATTACGCTGGTTGATGCGATATTGAGGTTTCGAATACTTACGTTTCCGTGGGTGATCTGACCGACAAAGATGGGTACAGTAATACCAGGCAGGGTAGCAGCAGTGTTAGTGATGGCCATCAGAGTACCGGCATAGTTGGGTGCAATATCAATATGGTTGGACAGGAAACCGCAGAACATACCACCGATCGAGGTGATACCGAGAGTCATCAAAGCAACAGCCGCGGCACGGTTGCATCCAATGTAGCACAGAGCCAACAGGCAGCACATGGGAATAACCGATGCGATCAAGGTAGCAATCTTTCTAGCAATGGTAGTGTTGATCTTCTTACGAGCTCGCAGAGCATCCAAGGTCTTGCTTAGAGCCATACTGAAGAACCACATGGTCAAGAATGGAATAGCAGTGACGACGGCATTTTCCTTGATGTTGAACTGTAGAACTTGCTTCATGTAGAACGGCAATTCGATCAGTAACATGTACCAACCCCAGTTGTTGCATACGTGGGCGATCAGAATGCCGTAGAATGGAGCCGAGGTGAAGACCCTCTTCCATGGAACAGCCGGTTTGGGTCCGCTATGGGCAGATCCTCCTTCGGTTCCCAGCGATGAGGTGATGAATGATCGCTCTTCAGCACTAATCAATGCCTGCTTGTTGGGGGTATCCTGCACCAGGAAGACCCACAGAACCAACCACAAGCAGCTCAGACCACCCATCACGTAGAACACAGACTCCCAACCTAAGCTTCCTGCGAGCACACCAGCCATCAACATGGAAATAACCGTACCCAGCGCAGTTCCAGCGTACACAATGGCCGACATTACCGATCGTTCGTTCGGTGGAGCCCACGAGGCCAACATGACGTGCATGGCCGGGAAAGTCACACCTCCTCCGATACCTTCACCGATACGCATGGCAATCATGGCTCCGTAGTGCAGTTTGGCAGCGATAGGAGTCAGCAGGGTGCAAATCACGTTGATGAACACCGAGAAGAACATAACCCATTTGGCGGAGAAGCTTTCGGCAATCCGGGCGCCGGGAATCTGCGACACGAAGTAACCCCAGAAGTAGCAACTGAGGATGGTGCCCTGAAGTGGTTCACTCCAGGAGAATGGGCCGTCCTGAAAGTAGAGAGAGGATGCATATTTTTATAAGGCGGTTATTCTTTTGTTCGTTGCTTAAAATTTGCGAGTAATTCTTATTAAAAATTGGTTTGAATACAAAAAGTAACGTGTTTGAATGGTGTTAGGCCATTGGACCATCTTCTCATAAATTGTTTTTTTAGGTTTTTGGCCTATCGAGGTGGAACCACGTGGAACTGCGGTGAAACGTCTGACGTGGTAGAGTAGGTCGGGGAAGATTATTGAAACAATCAACCCTTGACAAAATAAATCTAGTGAAGTAAAGTTAGAGAGAAGGAATTGTAATTTCGATATAATTCCACTACCATAATTGCTTACCCTTGACAGATACGGGTATTTCGAAATACCCGCATCTGCCATGGATAAGCAATTAAGGTAGGGGAATTAAATGAAAATTACTAATCCTTCCCTCTTTCTTTATACAGGTATTCCACTGCAGACGTCAAGTTTCATCAGGAAAGTAAAGTGTTATAAAGCAGTTCCGCAAAACAGCGAAAAAATAAAAATATTTTTGAATCGACCGTCTCTGATTTGTATGAAATTTTGCGTAATTGTTGTTCTGGGAAATATTTCGCATTTTTGCTAAAATTCTAAATTTTTTCAAAAAAAAATCTGGCACGGAAACGGCATTTCTCCCGTCACTTTTAAAATAGACCAATGTAACATATCTGCCATTTTGTGAAAATCGATTATTATTTTAACTGTTTAGAAATAATACATTTTGCAATACTATTTTTACTGTAGTCAATAATAACGCTGACAACATAATAAACAATAAAATCACATTTTTTTTCTTTGAATTTCATGCTACAATATAGGAAAAAAAAAAACACATATGACGTTTTGACTAGTCAAGCTGTACATCGGACATGTTACATTGGACGATTTTTCTCAATGACATAATGAATGGGTGTTCCCTTTCACAGATTTCAGTAAAGAGTACCTAACCTAGCCATGCCCCGCCTTTCGAAAATGAGCAGCAATCATGTTAGGCGTCCCAATGGCCAAAGTAACAATCACGTACCCATCATTTCAAACTGTGCAGTTAAATAAATGAAAGTAAATTTGGATGGGTATTCTTGTATCACATTTAATTATAGATGAGCAATAGTTTGTATCGATTAACTCGATTTTTGATCGAAATGACGTCTGTGACAAAGTTGTAACCGGCCAATCAGAACGACTCAGCGAATGAATTCAATTGACTCAAAACATTTTCTTCCCAAACGAAATTTACTCCTATTTGGGAAAAAACCTGCAGGAACTCACAGGTAATGAGTAACTGCAGGTTTTAAAAAATATGAGTAAATTTCGTATAAAAAGAAAATGCTCTGAGTCAATTGAAAACATTCGCTGCCAGACTGTTGAGTAGTACCACCGGTTGGAAACTAACGATTTAAAATTGGCTCAATACTTGACTAGCCCATTGGTCCCAAGCAAATCTATTAACGCACACCATTCTAGTCGAAATTTAAGTACTACGCTATGTTTGTTTTGATTCGCTATGAAAGTTTGACAGATAAAATGAGGGGTTATTGGTTTTTCCTATGTTTCGAGGGGTGAATTGATTAGCTTGGGACCGAAGAGAGTACCAGAGCTGAGCCAAAAAGTTGAGCACGTTTCTTCGGGACCTTCTAGTCTTAGAGTTACCTCTATGGTAGTACAGTCGACGTTTTTCTCTCGCTCGCTTCGTTCGTTCGATTACGTTGTTCCGTGTATTCTCGCGTTGAATAGAGACGCTCTCGCTGACCCTGCTAAAAAATTGTGCCGTGGCGCGAGTGCCGGCAATCCCGGGAAACGGTCTAGGCCTGAAGACAACTGCTTGACAACAATCGGTTCTCCGTTCTGAAGGACGGTGCAGAGCCGGAGACGGAAAGATACGGAAGTGTACAAATTGATGGTTCCTGCGTTGAACCATTACAAGGCGGTTCAGACCTTGCTGGACCAAGCACAGGTAGAGTACTTCTCCCACGACATCGAGGCTGTTAAGCCGCTCAAGGTGGTCCTACGAGGACTATACGACATGGACACAAGCGTCCTCTTGGCTAATGGACTGAAGCTGGTCCAAAATCACAAGATGGTCCGCCACAACAAGGCCATCAAGTACCGTGACAAGCTATACCTGGTTCAACTTGAGAAGAACCCAACAAGTCTGAAGGCATCCGCATCCTGTTTAACATCATGGTGAAGTAGGAGTGGTACAAGCAACAATCAATTCGAAACTAACGATTTAAAATTGGCTCACTACTTGACTTGAAATCGATTAACGTACCCCATTCTTGTATAAATTCCAGTACTACAGTATGTTTGTTTTGATTTGCTCTGAAAGTTTGACAGATAAAATGAGGGCTTCGTGGATTTTCCTATGTTTCGAGGGGTGCCTCGATTAGCTTGGGACCGAAGATAGTACCAGAGCTGAGCCAAAAAGTTGTTTCTTCGGGACCTTCTGGTCTTAGAGTTACCTCTATGGTACAAGCCAGTGGCCTCCCTTATCTCAGTCGGTAAAGGTAAGCTACGAAGCAAGACCATGCTGGAGGTGGCTGGGTTCGATTCCCGGTCCGGTCTAGGAATTTTTCGGGTTGGAAAATTTCTCGACTTCCCTGGACATAGAAGTATGATTGGACTTGCCACACAATTATACCAATGCAAAAATGGTACAGGCATCGAAAGCTCTTAATTAATAACTGTGGAAGTGGATCTAGAACACTAAGTTGAGAGCACGCAATAAGCTAATATGCGATATGCAATAAGCTTGAAATGCGAAGAAGAAGAAGAAGATGGTACAAGCCAGTTAGCCGCGGAGTAACCCAACTGCCTGCTGTTCGGGCATGGAACGAAGAATTGCCATATAGCAAGCCACTGCACTAAGCAACATCAAACCGACGCCAGCGACATACTCGATGAAGTCGATCCCGGTGAGCGGTGCTGCTCACAAAGCCACAAGCAAGGCCTGCCCGAAGCGCACCGAGTACATCGAGATCCGGAAGAAAGCATCGACGAGAAACCGGTACCTCGACGACCGATTACAGTGCGGCCACCGCTGCCACTGAATCAACGATTGGTTGTTGCTCGTGCCACTGCTACTGCTGGGGCGGCCGCCACCGCTCAAGTTCAAACTGCCGGAGCCTCTGCAAACTCTGGTCAAGATACGACTGCTGCTCCACAGCCGCAGGATCTTCCCACAGCCCCTGGGCTAAAATGGCGTCAGGATGGACCGTCCCTACCACAGCCCGAAATCAACGATGGTTCGTGGTTCACCGCAGCGGAACTAATGATCATCTTCCTCAAGATGTACGACATTGCCAACACCGTCAAGAACAAATTCGGCCAGCTCCAAGTTGTTCTTCCTGGATTCAGGCTCGTGAAGCTGGATCGGACAAGCTCTGGGGGTGTTGGCATGATCGAAGCATTTGGAGTGGAAGTCTCCAAACCCGTCGGCCCAATCATTATCATTGCGGCCTATTGCTAGAAACAAGCCAACGCCAGGGATGGATCTGTGGCAGATCTGCGGAGGGATATTATCAAGATAACAAGGCGCTGGCGACCTGAATGCCAAACATCAAGCTTGGGGCAACCATAGGTGGAATCAGAACGGTACCATCCTAAATTACTACCTGCAAGAGGCCCATTACACAATCCTGGCCCCGGACGCTCCCACCCGGTTGAGCCGGTTCGGCGTGCACTCGATCATCGACATCTTCGTCAGCAACATGGAGAACATCTCCCAACCGGTAGCCCACCAAGAGTTAGGCTCGGACCACTTTCCGATGGTGGCCGAGGTGGGCTCCTCCGTTAATCGATTTCATCGGGAAGCCGTCAGAATTACCATCTGGTAAGCTGGGATCGGTTCCAACAAGTCGTCGACGAAGCCATCGATTTCGGCGCCCTTCTGGAGATGACTCATGACATCGATAGATCTCTGTGCACCGTCGAGGAGGCGGTTGAGTAATTCTCTCAACCTTGATCAGAATACTAAAAGCCTTATCACACTCCGTACGCCATACGTACGCAGTGCCAGATAACTGGGCTGCCTATCTTGAAGACCAATTCCAACCGTCTAACCAAACTTATCAAAGCCAAAATGGTGGAACTCAGAAATGAGAAAACCGAGACCGCTGGTTCCACTGAATTGTCCCGACGGTTCAGTGGTTTACCTGATAACACCTGAAGAGAAGGCTGCCGCGATAGGTCAACATTTCGTCAGCTCTCACAATCTCGGACACAATACATCACCAGCCCTCACGAAGCTGAGGTTGCTAAAAATGTAACCAATCTCCCCCAGGTTCCTAACTTTCCCGAGGTATCCGAGATCACAGCTGACGACCTGTTGGCTTATATCAGAACTTCCAAACACATGAAGGCCCCAGGTTTCGACAACATCCTGAATCTGGAGCTCAAGCGCTTGAGTTCCAGATTCTACAACCAGTGCCTCCGATTTGGCTGCTTCCCTTCATGCTGTAAGTTAGCTAAAGTCATCTCCATTCATAAATCTGGGAAGAATCTTTCCTCTCCTTCAAGTTACCGATCCATCAGCGCTCTCTCAGGGTTATGCAAGCTGAAAGGGCAGTTTACAGCCGGCTTCTAACATCTGCCGAAGAAAACAACATCTTACTCGAGAAGCAGTTTGGTTTTCGAAAAGGTCGATCGACCGTCCACCAACTGACCCGAGTAATAAACATTCTTAGGCGGAACAAGGCTAATAATTTAGTATTGATTGAATTAATATTTATAAGAATTTGAAATGAAAATTAATAATGTAACGTTGAAAATGCTTGTATTTAAATTGAAAATATTTTTGCTATATTTTCACGGCACATGTTATATCAACTTTACCACACTTTCATGACAAAAGTTTGATTTGATACAAAAATAATTCACTTTTAATTATAACAGTATCATGCTTTTCATAGAACTAAAATTCGTTTTGAAAGTTTCAACTTTTTAAAGTAGCTCGCGAGCAACTTTTGAATAACTGACTT